CTGGGGCTTAAACTCAGGGTCTGGGCACTGTCCCTGAGCTGCTTTTGCTAAAGGCTGGCACTCTACCACTTGAGCCACAGTGCTACTTTCGGCTTTTTAAAATTTTTTTGTTGTTTATGTGGTGAGAAGGAATCAAACCCAGGGCTTCATGCCTGCTAGGTAAGCGCAAGCACTCTACCACTGAGTCACACTCCAGTCCCATGCACATTTTTATAGCAATGAGATGTGTAACTAGATTCAGTGCTAGTGGAGTTGCTGTCAGAACCTTGGGCCACTGTAACCCCCTGCAGAGAAGCTGAGAAGCATCCAGAGCCTTGAAGTCCTCATTCCACCCTCCTGTCGGGCATCAGTGGTCTTGGTCAGGAGAAGGGGCAGTGCCCCGTGCCCTTGGCCCGTATGCTGGCGGAGCTGGCTTGCCACTCTTGGTGTTCTGAGGAGGCATGTGTTCCTCCAGTCCTCCACCTCTTTAGGCCCCCATCTGCCCTGGCTGAGCGCAGTGTAGGTGAGCTGATGAGGAGCTGGCTGTGCTCTGCCTCTCCCCTGGGGCATGGCAGTGGCTCTGGCAGCCTGCCTCACCTCCAAGAGATGAGGGCTCAGTGCAGTCCAGGCATCAACCATGTTTATCTGTCAGTTCTCTCATACATGTTGGGAAGTACTTTACAATTAGAAATCATCCTCTTTTCTTTTTTTTCCTGCCACATCAGTTTGATGCAGATCCTTAAACAAACAAAATTAATATTTTCTCCGGATAGAATTTGTTTGGTTTGTATTTTTCAGTGTTCTTCCATGTCTAGTATAAATATATTTTTGTGCTAATGATCATTAGGGTTACTACAGTGAACCTTTTCATGCTGGTATGTGTCTTAGGTGATTTTACTGTTTTCATTAAACTTCTCTATATATTCCAAACTTATAATCAGAGTATCTTTTTTTTTTTTTTTGGGTCCAGTTGTGGGGCCTGAACTCTGGGTCTGGGCACTGTCCCTCAGCTCTTCTAGCACTCTACCACTTGAGCCACAGCACCACTTCTGGCTTTTTTCTTTTTGCTCATGTGGTGCTGAGGAATCGAACCCAGGGCCTCATGCATGCAAGGCAAGTGCTCTACCACTGAGCCACCTTCCCAGCCCCTCAGAGTATCATTTTAAAATGAGAACATTTTATCACACTGTTTCTGTGTGCACAAATGTAGCGTACTTTCGACTACAGTGTGTACTTGTCAGTTGTTCTTGTGCTACTGGATTTCTGGGTTCCACAGACAGCCCAGTGTCTAGAAAGGATTAGGAGCCAGAGGAAGAAGGCCATGCTAAGGGGGGATGGGGAATGAGGGACGGGGGACGGGACGGGATGGGATGGGATGGGACTGGACCGAACAGGTTGCGTCAGGTCCAGTCAGGGGCCGCCTAGGTGCCTTTTCAGAGGTAGAGATCTCAGTGACATGGGCTTAACAGAGTTGACTTAGGGAAAGGAGAAGACCAGAAGTGTGTCAATACAGATGGTGATGGAGTTTAGAACGAGGTGAGCAGGTATTGTTCCGTGTGTAGTGCTGGAGAACAGATTGAGTCCCAGAGCGAGAGCCTCGGAGGCAGTACGTGCCTTGGACGGTACATGAGCCTGTGAGCACAGGACACATTGCGTGTGATGCACTAAGTAAGTCAGGGGCCCAGGTGTGGATGTGTGCTCTTAGAAAAAAGAGGTTGTCAGGCTAGTTGCAAGGTTAGGCAGGCTTGATCAAGGACAGAGCTCTCAACAAACCTAGGAAGCTGTCTAGAACTGGGATTGAAAAGGAGGAAGGTGTTCCACATCCTGCAGGTTGAAGGGAGGGGCTGGTTGTGAGGAGATGGGAATCAGCTGAGGTGATGTGTTCCGTGTTCTGTGCTCCAAGTTCTGGAAAGGCAGGGGTGGGTGGAGACTGGAAAACCTTAGAGCTCAGGTGTGTGAAAAGCCAGTGGGATATTGTTGCACTGTTTACTTTCGTATGTATTTTTAAATTACAAATGATGGCATTCTAGACTTTGGAAGAGAGGAAGAAAGAACGGTTGAAGTCACTTTTGATGGCTGTGGGTGACACTGACATAGAAATGTTTGTATGACGGTGAAAACTGGTGGAGGCTTACTGGCTTTCGGACTTGGACAGAGATTTAGGTCCTTGCTTACAGACAAAATCTGAGACCTTGTCCCAGGGATTTGGGGATGCTGTGGTTCAGTCAGACACCAGTGCTTTTGATGGGGTGTGGCCAGGTGATGGGGCAGGAGGTGGTTCTGGCTCTCTTCGTCAGAGCATGTCTTCCTGGGGGCAGAGGCGGGTCTGGGCCTGTGCTCCTCCATGCAGTCTGCTGGATTTAGGGAGGGAGATGACAAATGGGGTTGGAGTGCTCAGGTGGCTTCGGAAGGACTAGGGGTGAGTTTTGAAGGGCGGGCCAGGCCGCAGGGAAGGGCATTTGAAGGCACTGCAGCGCCAGTGTGGGGGGGGGGGGGCTGAGGCGTCAGCCAAGCACTGCAGCCAGCATCCCTTCAGTGTTGCAGAAAGCTAGCGGAGGAAGAAAAGCACTTTTCCCCTTTACGAAATGAGTGCTTTTGAAAATTTGGAAAACAAAGAACACTATAACAATGAAAACTAAGTTCCACAGTCCTAACAGTAGTAGGTGCCTTGCTAGCATTTTGGTGTGACGAGCACACTTGTAATGCAGATGCAGGGTAGGAGTAAAGACTGACCAAGGACAGTTCCCACTGACAAGAGCTCCTGGAGATACAGTCCTAACAACCTGTGTCTCCTCCTTCCTCCCTACCAGGGCCTCCATGCAGAGCAGGGGCACCTTTGGAGGATGCTGCCTGCGGTAGGGACAGTGAGGAGCAGAGGGGGCAGCCAGTATGAAAACTCACCTTAGCTGACATGGACACGTCCTGGATAGAGCCCATGCTTTAATTTCATTCTTAGTAAAGATGAGTGATTCTGTGGCATTCATCTGTCTGTCTTTAATCCTTAACTTCCCAAATGCTGCAAGATGTAAATATTTTTGTGATAGTTTCTAGTGAAATAACCCGGCCCACTCTGCATCGTGACAGCGAGTTACTAAGGTAAAGAGAGAGAGTAATCATTTACGAGGTGAATACTGCGTCATGTGGAATGCGGAGTAACAGATAGCTGTGGAGTGAAGAGCAGATGGAGGACACTGAGTTACTATCTAGCAGTTAAAAAGAAACCTACCTGTGCCTCGCCAGAACGTCCAGTCAACTTGACAAGTGCATCGGTCTCTTTATCCAGAAAAAGATCCACTGATTTGTATGTTTGTATTAGAATTAATGCTTACACTTTATTTTTCCTAAATATTTCCTGTCTGGACTTTCCTGAGGAGATGCAGTAAAGAGTAGTGGACCTGGTAAATACAGACAGAACTAGGTTTCAGAGGTGGCCAGCATTCCAGTGTCAGTGTAATTACCTGCATGCATTGGTAAGGGTTGGAATGCCTAAACATGGCATTGGCATGTGCTTGGCACGTAGTAGGCAGTCAATAAATGGTCACAGTGAGAGCCTGCTTCCCAGCTCATCCCTGTGCAGGTATAAAAATAGTTCCTTTTGGGGCTGGGAAGGTGGCTCAGTGGTAGAGCGCTTGCCCTGCATGCCTGAGGCCCTGAGTTCAATTCCTCAGCACCACATAAGCAAAAAGAAAAAACCCGGAAGTGGCGCTGTGGCTCAAGTGGTAGAGCGCTAGCCTTGAGCTGAAGAGCTGAGGGACAGTGCCCAGGCCCAGAGTTCAGGCCCCACGACTGGATCCCCCCCTCCCCAAAAAAGTTCCTTTTACGTGGATCTTGTTTCTTTGGTGTTCAGTGGTGTATGTTTCCCTGAATGTTCAAACCACTGTATTCATTTTAACCATGTCATAGTTTGTATTCATTATTTATTTGTTTTAAGGAGTTTTTTTGTAAATGTGGTCTTAATGTTGCTTTGTATTTAGACATTTCTGAAATCTAGAAACTAAAATGATATACTGCTTATGCCTTTTAAAAATTTCCTATTTTGGGGCTGGGAAGGTGGCTCAGTGGTAGAGCGCTTGCCTTGCATGCCTAAGGCCCTGGGTTTGATTCCCCAGCCCCACATAAGCAAAAAGAAAAAATTCTTATTTTGTTATAGGCAGAAATAATTATCATTCACTCTCCATATGTAAATATTTGTAATTTATTTGGTGACATGGCAGAAGATGATTTATGGCTATAAAAGTGTTGTGATAGAAACAAAGCTATTGGCTTCTTGTGTCCCCTCCCCCCCAATATTCTTAGGTTAATTTGATTTAATGAGAGAGAAATGGTTACATCACTGGATTACTAGATTTAATGAGAGAAATGGTTATATCATTAGATTGTAATAGCTGCAGATTTAATGAGAGAGAGATGGTTACACCATTGGATTGTAGTAAATGTAGACTGAATGGATGGTAATCCTTACTTGTCCCCTGTGTCAGGTGTCATCTGAGGACAGGAGTGCCCTGTGGGCTTTGCTCACGTTCCACGGCGGCAGCTGTCAGCTGAGCCTCAATAAGAAGTGCACCCACTTGATTGTTCCTGAGCCGAAGGGGGTAAGCCTCACACAGTGTCCTTACGTGCTGGTGCATATAGTTGTTGGATGGGTGTTTTTTGTCCTTTTAAATGCTAGACCCTGCTTATAAAAGCTGGTTGAATTGTGTTATATTATTTATATCCAGTTTCATTTCACAAAAGATGTGAGATGATCATAAATTGAATAATGAGCCAAGTACTAATTAATATAAGTTATTATAATGGGAAAAATTCCATTTTTTACAGTTTGTTTAAAGTTCTTTTAAGAACCTTATGAGGGGCTGGGAAGGTGGCTCAGTGATAGAGCGCTTGCTTTGCATGCTGAAGGCCCTGGGTTCGATTCCTCAGCACCACATAAGCAAAAAGAAAAAAGCCGGAAGTGGCACTGTGGCTCAAGTGGTAGAGGCTAGCCTTGAGCTGAAGAGCTGAGGGACAGCGCCCAGGCCCAGAGTTCAGGCCCCACGACCAGACCCAAATAAATAAATAAGTAAATAAATAAATAAATAAAATGAGGCGCTGGGAAGGTGGCTCAGTGGTAGAGTGCTTGCCTTGCATACATGAGGCCCTGGGTTCGATTCCTCAGCACCATATAAGCAAAAAGAAAAAAGCCGGAAGTGGCGCTATGGCTCAAGAGGTAGAGTGCTAGCCTTGAGCTGAAGAGCTGAGGGACAGCGCCCAGGCCCAGAGTTCAGGCCCCACTACCGGACCCAAAAAAAAAAAAAAAGAACTTTATGAGTTGATTATTATTTCTGAATGAAATTGAAAAAAAAATATACTTTTAGACTCTTGCCATTGTTCAGAGTGCTAAGATTAGATAGAATCCAGAGGCTGGTACAGGCTCAGCGTGTGCTCTTCCACTGGGCCATGCCCAGCAATTTCACGATTTTCTGGGGTGTGTGTGGGGGTTGCTAGTTGTAGGATATGGACTCAAGGCCTAGACGCTTTCTCTGAGCTTTTTTGCTCAAGGCTAGTACCCTACTATTTGAGCCACAACTTTTTGGTGGTTAATTGGAGATGAGTCTCCCTGGGCTGGCTTCAAACTGTGATCTTCAAATCTTAGCCTTCTCAGTGGCTAGGATTATAGGTGCCCTGCTAAAATTGGTATTAAATATACTGTAAGCCACATACTGTATGCATGTATATAAAGATTTTTTTTATCCAAGTCTGTAATGGAAATGTAATATTGTTAGATATGATTTATGTAGTCTTCTTATGCTAAGAAAGAAAGGTAATTATACTTTGCCTGTTTTAACGTCCTGGTTTTAAAGAATGAATTTAATATTTAACATTCTTCTGCAATGGTAAAACTTGTTAAAAGCAAAATTTATATTTTGCAGTACTGAAAATGACTAGAACCAGCTGCTAATTCACCTTGCATCTAGGCAGTCGCCTGGCATTTTGTCCCTGAAGACACCGAAACAGACACTTCATCCCTTCATTAACATACTCTTTTCTATCCACATTTTATCATGCCTAAATAATTTTTTTTTGTTGGTCGTGGGTTTGAACTCTGGGGCTGGGCACTGTCCCTCAACTTTTCAGCTCAAGGTGAGTACTTTACCACCTGAGCCACAGTGCTACTTCTGGTTTTCTGGTGGTTAATTGGAGATCAGAATGTCATGGATTTTCCTGCCTAGGCTGGCTTTGAACTGCGATCCTGAGATTACAGTCTCCTGAGTAGCTAGATTATAGGTGTGAGCTGCTGGTACCTGGCCTTAATAAAATTTTAAAGCAAGTACCAAGGCTTGATCTCAGGGCCTTGAGCTCTTGTTTGACTTTTTCTTATGCTAACTTGCTCTGACACTTGGCATGTCTCTAGTCTAGCTTGCTTTTGCTGGTTAATTAGAGTCTCTTGGACTGTCCTGTTGGATCATGCCTATGAACCAGGGTCTTTAGGTCCCAGCTCCTGGTACCAGCCCCCTGGGCACCCAGCTCCTAAATAATTTTGTGAACCATGATGTCCATGTGTAAAGTAAACACAGGCGTGAGCTCATCATGTCCAGGCTTTCGATTGTTCTAGCTTGGCTACTGGGAAGGACGGAGGTGGTCCGATCCTGATTTGGGTCTAACTGTGTTCTGGTAGCATTACCATGAATGTTACAACAAGACTAGGGTTGTGAGTTTACTGATGGCTTAGAAACCCAAGTGATACTGTCCTGAGAGAGTACCCCTCTTCCCTGAGTAATACAAAGATAGAATAATTGTCTGTTCATTCACTCTTTCATTTATGGGAGCTCCTAAAAATGTCAATGAATCTAAGACGAGACATTTTCCTGTGTGGGTATTTGGTGTCAGCCACATCATCAGGTTGTTCTCTGTGGAGTCCTCTTCAGGTAGACATTGTCATTTCTGTCTTCTCATGCGTAGCATCTGTACCTTGTCCTCCTCACCAGCTGTGTTCAAGCAAAGCAAGGTCTTTACATATGAAATGCAGCGCTAAGCACTTGGTATAACTATGTTAAGTAATTCTAGCCAAGATCACAGCACCAAACACTTGACTGGCCATTTGTGCCCATCCATGTCTTCTGACCATGGCAGGGTGGGCGGTCTGCCTGCCACTGGATCAGGACAGACACTGCATCTGCCCCAAAGTGGCTTATAGAGGGCATTTCCTGCAACAGCCTGCTTCTCACATCCTGAAGGCTGAAGCAGCAGCCTTCAGGCAGCCTGTAAGTTTATATAGATTATAATTAGCTGTCATGTGTTTGATTTGTGATGGTGTTTGTGGCTTAGGCTGTTGATACTGAATCCCTTTAAGATGGCTGAAGTTTGATCCTTCCTCTCTATTCTACAATCTGTTCAGACACAAGTTTTTTTTTTTTTTGTCGGACGTGGGACTTGAACTCTGGGACTAGCGCTGTCCCTCGGCTCTTTAGCTCAACGCAAGCACTCTACCGCTTGAGCCACAGTGCCACTTCTGGTTTTCTGATTGAAGATAAGAGTCTCACAGACTTTCCTGCCTGGGCTGGCTTTGAACCTCGATCCTCAGATCTCAGTCTCCTGAGTAGCTAGAATTACATATGTGAACCACTGGTGCCCAGCCAGACACAAGTATTAAGTCCAGCAGCAACACATTTGAAGTTTTACTGTGTAAGATGTGTGACTGACTACACACTAAGGAAACCGGCATTTCTTTTTCAAATGGACCCAGGTTTTCATTGTTATAATGATTACATAGGAAAGATGTGTACAGATGGCAGAGTGAAGTTCCATGGAGGAGTGTGAGGGGAGCTGGTCACTGCACCCCCTCCCCTCCACCCCAGTAGGCCTTGAGGCCATTCTGCTTCATCTTTTTTTTTTTTTTATTTTGGGTCCGGTCGTGGGGCCTGAACTCTGGGCCTGGGCGCTGTTCTTCAGCTCTTCAGCTCAAGGCTAGCGCTCTTCCACTTGAGCCATAGCACCACTTCCGGCTTTTTTCTTTTTGCTTATGTGGTGCTGGAGCCTCAGGCATGCAAGGCAAGCGCTCTACCACTGAGCCACCTTCCCAGCCCCATTGTGCTTCATCTTGCCGGGTCTTTTCTGGTCATTGTCTTCCTTGTCCAGGTGTAAACAGGTGTCATTGGGGCCTTGGGGACAGTGTGTTTACTTAGAGCCCAGGCACACATTGAAGAATCGCAGTCAGGCCTGGAATCAGCGTGACACTGAGCTGGCTCAGCTTCCCCTCGGAGGAGTGTGCACGTGTCCTCTGTACAGTACAGCGGCACTGCAACTGTCCTTCTCGAAATGCTAGTTCCAAGAGAAGGACAGAGCTGACAGCTTTCTTCTGAGTGTGTGTGTGTGCTTTGTTCGCAGGAGAAGTATGAATGTGCTGTGAAACGAGCAAGTATTAAAATTGTGACTCCTGATTGGGTCCTGGACTGCATATCTGAGAAAACCAGGAAGGAGGAAGTGTTTTACCATCCTCGTCTGATCATCTATGAGGAGGAGGAAGAGGAAGAAGAGGAAGAGGAAGAGGCCGAAAACGAGGAGCAGGACTCTCAGAACGAGGGTAGCACGGAGGAGAAGTCGAGCCTGGCCAGCTCCCGGGAGGGCTCCCCTGGCAACCGGCAGTTTTCTCCCAAGCCCAGCACCGAGACTTCCAAAGGGGAATTGATGTTTGATGACTCTTCAGACTCCTCGCCAGAGAAGCAGGAGCGGAATTTAAACTGGACCCCCGCGGAAGTCCCACAGCTTGCCACGGCAAAGCGCAGGCTGCCTCAGGGAAAGGAATCTGGGCTCATTAACTTGTGTGCCAATGTCCCACCCGTCCCAGGTAACCTCCTGCCTCCAGATGTCCGCGGGCTCATGGCCTCTGGACAGAACCTCCCAACTTCTGAGCGGTCAGACATGATAGCTACCTGGAGTCCAGCGGCGCGGACGTTGAGAAATATCACCAATAGTGCTGACATTCAGCAGATTAACCGACCATCAAATGTAGCACATGTAAGTCTCCAAAGGAAACGTAAATGTTGGAATTAAGCATTGGGTTTCACAGCTCTGTCAGTGATGCTTTGTCGTGTTTCCTGCTTCAGACCAAGTAACTTACAGGCACTATTTATTTGAATGAGAACCTTACCATAGCTCACCTATGATGTCCACACTGCGGCAAAGTCACTACAGGCCCGTTTCTCAAGGCACTGCTGTGTGGGCAAGGCCAGACGGCTGTTTCAATGTGTCGCCTTCTCTCTGGAGAGAGCAGGATGGCAGGAAGGGTCTTATGGAGGTGATGTGAAGTCAGGGTTGAAGGGGAGGAGACCACCAGGGAGTCTGAGGACAGAGTTCCCAGGGGAAGGAGCTGCAGTTAGGGAGCCCGGTGTGGGGGAAGACCGCTGGGGGTCAGCGGGTGCGGGAGGCCTGGGAGGATGGGGCAGGCCTGGCTGTGCCGTGGTGAGCAGGAGCAGCGTGTGCGTTCTGCGCAGGCCGTGATCGTGTTGAGTCAGGGTGAGGTGGGATCAGTAGGCCTGGGATCTAGCGGGGGTGGGAGGGAAGCAGGGGGATCCCAGCTTTCTGGGGAGCCACGGGAAGGATGGTTCAGTGAGGACCGAGCTGGGGAAGGGCTATCCATTTGAAGACTTAGCTTTGGGGCTTTCCCCAAGCGGAGGTGGCCCTGAGCAGTAAGAGCCCTCTGGGACCAGGCAGCTTTTGTCTTCAGAAATGAGGTCTCTGGGGTGGACTTCAGGTCCCCCCACTCCCTGTCCTCTCCCAGGTGTGGTTGCAGACTCGCTTAGGGGTGACCAGTCTGTGTGATTATTGTAGAGGTGACTGACTCTGTGATTGTCCTAGAGGTAATTGTGTCTGTGTGTCTGTGTAGAGGTGACTGGGTCTGTGTGTCTGTCTAGAGTGACAGGGCCTGTGATTGCCATCCTAGAGGTGACCAGGTCTGTGTGATTATCGTAGAGGGAACTGACTCTGACTGTCCTAGAGGTAATTGTGTCTGTGTGTCTGTCTAGAGTGACTGGGTCTGTGTGTCTGTCTAGAGTGACTGGGCCTGTGTGTCTGTCTAGAATGACTGGGCTTGTGTGTCTGTCTAGAGTGACTGGGTCTGTGTGTCTGTCTAGAGTGACTGGGTCTGTGTGTCTGTCTAGAGTGACTGGGTCTGTGTGTCTGTCTAGAGTGACTGGGTCTGTGTGTCTGTCTAGAGTGACAAGGTCTGTGTGTCTGTCTAGAGTGACTGGGTCTGTGTGTCTGTCTAGAGTGACTGGGTCTGTGTGTCTGTCTAGAGTGACAGGGTCTGTGTGTCTGTCTAGAGTGACTGGGTCTGTGTGTCTGTCTAGAGTGACTGGGTCTGTGTGTCTGTCTAGAGTGACTGGGTCTGTGTGTCTGTCTAGAGTGACAAGGTCTGTGTGTCTGTCTAGAGTGACTGGGTCTGTGTGTCTGTCTAGGGTCACTGCGTCTGTGACTGACGGGTCTTGAGCGTGGTGGGGTGGAGAAAGCCATGGAATTGAGGTGGCTGCAGAGGTGACTGTCAGGGCCCGTCCAGGCTGTCCTTCCTCTGAGCACTGGCACTCCTACAGCAGGAGAGATGGTGGACTGGGCGGAGACAGCCCTCTTGGTGCGGAGAGCATGTCCACACATAGGCACCCATCCAGGTACTGGGCTGGGCTTAGAGAGAAGCAGGGGAACCGGCTGGAATCGGGAAGCTAAGGACATGACAGTGGAAGGGCTGCTTACCCACAGTGGTAGCTGGAGGTGAAGAGGACTCTTTACATTTCTGAGGGCTGGGAAGGGGGCTCAGTGGTAGAGCGCTTGCCTCGCATGCCTGAGGCCCTGGGTTCTATCCATTCCTCAGCACCACATAAGCCGAAAAAGCCAGAAGTGGCGCTGTGGCTCAAGTGGTAGAGTGCTAGCCTTGAGCTGAAGAGCTGAGGGACAGCGCCCAGGCCCAGAGTTCAGGCCCCACGACTGGAACCCCCTCCCCCAAAAAAATTCTGACCTAGGAACTTGGGAGGAGCCCACCTTTGGGGAGTGGTTTTGGCCAAAGACCTGCCTGGGCCACCCAGGAGGCTTGTCCCAAGCAGCTGGAAATAGAGCCTAATGAGCTCCCAGAGTGACGTGGAGCCAGCTGAGAGAAGTATAAAAATGGCTGGAGAAGCAGGACTCCCTATTCCTGGTGGAGGTTAGGGACAGCAGGCAGTCCTGTGCTCCGTGCTGCCGAGGCAGCGGACCGTGCTGCTTGGTTACTGCACACTTCTCCACCAGCGGGTTCCCCGTAGCAATCGACTGATCTTGGTTACAGCGGAAGTCAGTGATGAGCGGGGAGTTGGGACATCTCTGACCCCGCATTTGACTGCCTCCTCCATGATCCAAGGAGGAGCAGGTAACTCTCCTCCCAAAGAGCATTCCAGCAAGTAAGAGTACAAGGACATTTTACTGGTAAATGGGAAGAACTTTGTAAAATTCGGGCTTCCTTGTTTTTTTGAGGTACATTCCCACGTGGTAGCTCAGGCTGACCGGAACTCTACTGTCCTCCTGCCTCACCCACCTCGGTATTGGGATTACAGGTGCATGTCAGCACACCCGAGTGGGAAAAGGAGTTTTTGAAATGTTAGCTATCTGAGCCAGATTTAGTTTGACGTGGAATTGTGGTGGCAGGCGCAGCGACCAGTCAGTCAGCCCCCTGCTGAAATTGCAGGTCTGGTCAGGAATCAGGTGCCTGCCCCATGCTCAATATGTCATATGCAGACGCTCAGACGTTAGAAGGAGAATCGTGACAGTTATAAGGGGAAAATTCAAAGCTGACTTCTAGAATTGCTGGTTGTGGTAAGGCACAAGTTACTTGACTAAGTAAGTAGAATTTTTACTTTTCTTCTGTCCCTCAGAATGAAATGTGTTTTCAGTCAAAGGCAGAGCAGAAGGTTGGAAAGGGGAGTGAGTGGTGCAGCCGGTGTGGTGACAGACATCTCCATGGCTGGCTGCCAGGTGCTCAGGGTCCCGGGCCAGTGCCCATCTTCAGTCTTGGCCCGGGTGCATCCTATACCGCCATCTTTTTTCTCCTGGAGCAGGCGAGATAAATCTTCCAGGGACCCTTTTTAGCCCCTGCACCTAAAACTGAAGACAAGCAGCTGTGGGTTTCCTCCTGTCACACCTGACCTCCCTCGTCCCCACTCTCCACAGTGTCCTGTGTGCGGAGGCTGCCTGGGCCTCCTGGGGTCCTCGGGGCCCTGGACTGGCTCCACCCGCTGTGTGAGGGGAGCCCACTTGGACTGGGGTGAGTGGTGCAGCGGGAGTGGTGTGTCTGGCCTGTTCATCACGGCAGGCAGTGTGAATGTCAGAGGGTGGGAAAGTGTTCAAAATGAAAATAGCCACGGGACTCAAACTCCTGCCTGCCCTGGCTCCCTTTTCTTTCCCGGGGACAGCACGGGGTAGCCCAGGCTGGGTGAGGCTCACCGCTAGGCCGTGTGCGCCAGCCGGTCTCCACATGTGGCCCGCGGACACCCATGCTGCTTGGGTGGTGAGGGAGCTCACCCTAGCTCATCTCCTCCCGTCACTGGTCAGGTGTGCTTTAGCAGAGCAGAAACCACCCTCTGAAGTACAGAAAAGAGGACGGCCGCAAGAAGTGGGGTTGGAGGGCGTTCCATCTTGTGCCCTGTTTGTCGTGTGTGGAGGCAGAAGGAAAGTGATTGCTAATGGCGTGTGCTGACATCCCTCCAACCTCAAAGTCTAGACAGACCCTGGGCTCGCGCCCCACCAGGGCTGGGCACTGGAAGGTGACATTGTACCCACACTGTATCATGTCTGAGGAGGGGGGAGCAGGCACCCCTGCGGTGAGGGCTTGAACATTGGTACGTCACCAGCACGGTGTGTGGGTGTGCAGAGCAGGTGTTGTGAGGGAAGAGGTGGCCTGGCTGGGCTGAGCTGTGGTTGGATAGAGCCACTCCTGGCGTGAGGGAAGAGGTGGCCTCGCTGGCTGGGCTGTGGTTGGATAGAGCCACTCCTGGCGTGAAGCTTGACTTCCGGCTTCCATCTGCGTGGCCTGCTTTCATTGATCTTCTCCATGGGGGCCTTGCTGTATTGGGCGCTGGGCCACAGGCAGGAGGAAGTGGAAGACAGCAGGTGTGGGAAGAAAGTTGGGGTCAAGCTGCATCTGCCTCCCAGAGGCCTAACCATCTGTCAGTCGAGAGCAGGTCCAGAGCAGGCTGTGGAGGTGAGGGAGAGATGGCAGCGTGAAGGGATCACACTCTTCCCAGAACCCTGGTGGAAGCGGCCAGCCTGGTCTCACTGTCTGTCAGGGGTGCGAATAGTTGACTTTCAGATTTTGGTTTTGTCAGTAGAAAATTACTTTATTTGCTTTGTTGGTGTTGGTGATACGTAGTAAATATGCAAGAAAGATGCAGTCGTGTTTTTGAAGTTTCCAGTCATTTAATGCTCCTATTTACTAGAATATTAACTGGGTAAAATGTCCAGGTAGCCTCTACAATGAGAGACAGTTTTAGTTACTTTTCTGGATCTGTCAATGACAGTGTGGCCTCACTTTTTTTTTTCTAGATCTTACAATCCCTTTCAGCACCCACAAAAAATCTAGACCACCAGGTGAATCACAGCCAACAGGGACATGCCAATGCCAGCGCGGTGCTGTTTGGCCAGGTGAAAGGGGCTGCAGAAGCCCCCGTGCTCCAGCAGCACCATCAGCCGCCGCCGCCCCAGGTCCTACACCTCCAGCCGCAGCAGATGATGCCGTTTCCGCAGCCGCCGCCACCGCAGATGTCCCAGCAGCCCTACCCTCACCCCCCGGCACACCCATTCCCGCAGCCGCCCCCGCCGCAGGTCCATCAGCATCAGTTTCCCCAGCAGCCGCTGCACCGCCCGCCACAGCATGCGCAGCCCTTCCAGCCTCAGCAGGCCCTGCAGCTGCACCAGCTGCAGCACAGCCTGCTTCAGCAGCAGCACATGCAGCAGCAGCAGCTCCAGCGCCTGCACCACCAGCAGCAGCAACAGCACATGCAGAACCAAGCAGCAGCACAACACTTGAGCCAGCCGCCTCAGGCACTGCCGCACCAGGTCCCACCCCAGCAGCCGCCACCGCCACCACCTCCGCAGCCACCACCGCCGCAGCAGCTGTTTGGACACGACCCGACTGTGGAGCGTTAGTGGACATTCTTTCCTTCTCTCCCAGTTGCATATTTGCAGAAGTCCTTTGAGGGAGTATGTAAGGATTCCCACCTACTGATGAGTACAAAATGGAGGCTGAAAATTCCTGACAGTGAATCTGAAATCTCACGAGCAGTAGTTGATGGATAGTGGGATAACTGCGCTTGGTTGTTTTGTGGTACTGGAGTTTGAAGTAGTCCCAGGCTTGCTAGGCAGGTGATCCTCTACTGAGTCATGCCTCCAGTCCATTTTTGCAGTGGATATTTTTGAGGTAGTGTTAACTTTTGCCCAGTGTGCACCTGGCCCTCAATCCTATTTTACACTAACTACCATAGTTGGAATGACAGGCATACATATGCTACTGTGCCCAGCTTTTGGTTAAGAAGGAAGCTTGCAGACTCTTCGCTTAGCCTTGAACCATGGTCCTCCTGATCTCAGCCTCTTCACTAGCTTTCATATTTTGGGACATCTTTTATTTCATTCATTCATTCATTCATTCATTCATTTTTGTGCTGGTTCTGGGGTTTGAACTTACCAAATGCACTTTTCTCTTGAGACTAGAGCTCTACCACTCAAACCACAGCTCCACTTTGGACTTTTTTGGTGTTGTTTTTGATTTTGCCAGTCCTGGGGCTTGAATTCAGGGCCTGGGCACTGTCCCTGAGCTTCTTTTGTTCAAGGCTAGCACTCTACCACTTGAACCATAGCACCACTACTGGCCTTTTCTGTTTTGTGGTACTGAGGAGTTGAACCCAGGGCTTCATGAATGCTAGGCAAGCACTCTGCCACTAAGCTACAATCCTAGTTCCTTTTTTTTGGGTGTTAATTGGAGATAAGAGTCACACTTTTCCTGCCTGGGCTGGCTTTGGACTGTGATCCTCAGATCTCAGCCTCCTGAGTAGCTAGGATAACAGGTGAGAGACATTGGGGCCTGGTTGGGACATCATTTATTGAAGTGAATGTTGGTGTGTAATAGAATATTTAGGCTGCACCAAAGACTAAGAGGATGTATTGGTCAGGCATAAGTTTTGCTTTTATTTTGTAATGGTCCTTTTATATAGTTTCTTTTATATAGGAATTGGTGTATTTGTAGCACTTTTCCAAATGTACTTAGATTATTGATGTATTTACATTACCTCATGGTCAAGAATAATGAACTGCTGGGCACTGGTGGCTCACACCTGTAATCCTAGCTACTCAGGAGGCTGAGATCCAAGTGGCAGTTCAAAGCCATCCAGGCAGAAAATTTCATGAGACTGTTATCTTCAATTAACCGCAAAAAGCTGTACTGGATTCATGGCTCAAATGGTAAGGGCTCTAGTCATTCCAAAGTGGAGCTTGAGTTCAAGGCACTGATTTCAAGCCTTGGTATCCGTATAAAAAAAAGACTGATTAAATAAACCCATACTGAACTGAGAAAAATAGACTCTCTGTGTACATACTCATAGAGTTTTGTTTTGTTTTTTTTTCTGTATAATTCTTTTGTAGTTCCAGAAGAAGGCTTCTTACTTGGATGTGTGTTTGCTATTGCTGATTATCCAGAGCAGATGTCAGATAAGCAGCTGCTGGCCACATGGAAAAGGGTGAGCATGCTGGGAAGAAGGGAACTTGTGTGTGATGAGCCCCTAAGCGTAGACTGGTATCCACATGTCCACCGAGACAGATGCCTCTGGGCGCTTTTGTTGTTAGCCTTCCTAGACTGGCTATCCATCTAGTTGGCCATGTTCACTGAGACGTGTGAGTAGTTTTGCTGTCAGCTTTCTTAGACTGGCTGTTCATATAGTTGGCCCTGTTTACTGAGATACCACTTGGTGCCTGGACCTGGGAAGGTCACTTTTTCTGGGCTTTGTTTTTGTAACTTGGTAGGCAAAGGTCTTTACCGTTCTTGAGACATTTGTCTGTAATTAGCAGGGTCAGATATTTGGTGACCTTGGACCCTGACCATCAGTTAGTGTGTCTCCTCTAAGTATGCTGTTTCTCCAAAGACAAGTGTTAGAGAATTCTAGAGTTTCTAGTCTAGGAAGGGATCTCAAGGTTTCTGGTCTAACTGTGGGATGATAGTTCACGTTTGTGTGTATGTTTGTGTGTATACGTGTGTGTCTGTACGTGTATGTACTTGTGTACCAATATTGAGGCTTAAACTCAGAGCTTGGGCACCGTCCCCTTTGCTTTTTCATTCAAGGCTAGCCCTGTACCACTTGGCCACAGCTCCACTAGAGTTTTTTGGTGGTTAATTAGAGATAAGAGTCTCATGGACTTTGCCCGCCCAGGCTGGCATGGACCATGATTGTTATATCTCAGCCTCCCAAGTAAGCATTACAGGCATGAACCATTGTCACCCAGCTGGTAGTCCACTTTTTATTCATTATGTCTCATGGTGGCCTGTACTTACCATGCTCCAAATCAAAACTGAGTGTTTGTGTACGTGTGTGCATGTGCATGTGCACACGTGTGTGTGTGTGTGTACTCATTAGCCAGGTTTAAATAGGCCTAAGCATGTCCTGAATGTACTTCACTGTAAACATTCCTGATGTTTAAATCTGATCTATGTTAGCATACTGCATGACTGGGGATTGGTGGATAAACAGAGATACTACGAATGGACAGAGCCAGGAAAGTACAGGCCGGCTGGTGGTGTGGGTTAGAAGTAACATGGAGCCTTACGGGGGAGCCAGAGTGGGACATGAAGCTGCCAGTGTGGGCAGGTGTTGAGTCTGGATGAGGTAGTTCCCAGACTGAGCCTCGCAGAATAAGAAGAGTAAGGACTGGTGGAGGTGGTATAGCTCGGGCAGCCTGGGAAGGCAGAGGTCCTGGGGAAAAGGCTAGGAAGCGTGGGGATGGGTGAAAGTCCCTGAGAGAGACAGGAGGTTGGGTCCCTGCAGGGATGGATGGAAAGTCCACAAGCTTGTATGGGATAGCCCATGAGATGGAGAGGTTGGTCGTGTCTTTTAATTCTGGCATTTGAGTTTTCCACTTCCCAACCTTTATAGAGCAGGGGTGAGTAAAGGGCCTGATGTTCACGTTGCAGGGCAAATTGTTGACTTCGAGGGAGATCAGCAGGTTGATCAGCTGGCCAGACAAGGAATGACTTCACCAGGACAGGGCAGGGATAGTAAGCTTTTCCAAGAATTGTTTCAGCAGAAATTTAAAAAGAGGTGGAAATTTTAGAAGTGATATTTATTTTCAAATTCTTTATTGTGATTGATTATATGACTTCCCAAATTTCACAGTATTGTGGGTTAGTGATGCTTAAAGTCACAAACATTCTAACTTCCATAGGGCAAATTGTCTATCACGGTCTATGACATTTATGAGTTCTATCAGCTTTTCGAAACAGTTATTTCTTCCACATCGGGTGATATGTACCTTTCTTTTGTTTTGCATAGCATCAGCTGTTCCCTCTTTCCCACTTGTTCCCTCCCTCCCATCGCTGCCATTGAGTTGCTTAGTTCGTTTTGATCAATGTCCAGTGCAGCTGATGGGTCCTGCTGTTGTATGTTTTCCCCTGATTCCCTCTAGTTCTGTGTCGTCCTCCTGGTTTCCCTCCGGTGTGCACATATATACCATACATGTGATCAGCAGCGTGGGGTCATTAGTAGTGATTCGACCAGATGAGTGGAAGTCCTTTGTTTCTTAAGTCCTGCTAATTTTGTCTATCACCTAACATTTTGGGTTTAACATCCACTTATCAGGGAGACCATGAACCGTTTGTCTCTTTGCTCTTGGCTTACCTCGCTCAACATGATTTCTTGTAGCTCCATCCATTTCCCTGCAAATGCCATTATTTTGTC